TCCCTCTGCCTCTCTGACTGCTCTGACTGGGTCCATCTAGATCATGTCGGCAGGAGGGGGGTGATGCGGGAGTGAGAAAGGGCAGAAGGGCGGAGCCGGGGTGGATGGGCAGTGGAGACGGGAGGATCGCATGGTGCAGGTGCAGGTGTAAGTAGGTAAGTAAGTGCAGGCGCAGGCGCAGCGAAGGTGCAGAGCAGGTGCAGGACGCAGAGTAAGCGCACCTGGAACCATGATACCTACCTCTCTCAGCTGGGCTGCTGCGGCATCACACGTCCCTTGCTCAGCCCTGCCATAGGGCAACATGCCGAAGCGCCAATGTGTGTGACGTCAGGGATAGCATGAGCAAGGAGATGAGCGATGGCTCCATCCCGGATCGAGCAAAGACAGACGAAGGAATCATTCTCCTGTGCCTCTCCCAGGATCGAGTCTAATGTCGACTGAACTTCTGGAAGCCCGAAGCTGTCCTGGGGGCTCGTACCTGAATGGGTTGTGACTGGTCCAACCGCCCCTGCCAGCTGAACGACAGGTCTTGGCAGTTTCTCGGAACTTGAGCCAATCCCGTGCTCGGAAAGCCATCTTACAGGTGCAACTGCGCTACTGCCCTGGCACCTCCTCCAACGTTGCCCGAGCCGAGGGGAGGTGCCTTCTTGCCTTCTAAGGGGGGGGGGTAGGTACTGCCTACTACCTACTACCACCTTAGTTAGCACTGGATCAGTAGCCTGTCAGTTGACCCTGGTGCATCGACACAACCGCTTCCAAGCACGTCCGTTACCCGTCATTCAACTCCACCCGGTGATGTCTCATCACTGCCTAAGATACCTGACCTACCTCACCTACCTACCCTGGACCGAAATCACCACCAACACATCTGGCTGTCCAGCCCTCCAGTCATGGAACCAGGACGGACGATCGTCAGCAACACCCACCCCTCCCTTCCCACCCCTTTCCACATCTATTCAATCGCAGCCGCCAGTCTACCTTATATGGCAAACCCCCACTCACTCAAGCGCATCCCAACAGGGCAACTTGACCGCGTCTGGTCTTCGGCTTGGCGATGGTTGTTTGGAACCGAAGCTTGTCCGTGATACAGTTTTCTGGGCCGGCCACGGGATTCCCAGCCTCTGGCGCGCTTGGTTCGGGCCGCAGACCACAGACTGCCATGGAATGAAATGGAGTCCTTCCGGCATATGCCTTCCCATCCTCCCACACCTGGGCCATACCTCCTACGTATGTGCGACCTACCTAAATGGTGGGCCGCAGCCGCCGAAGAAGACAAGCACAGCCCCGCGATGACCTAGGGCCAGCCCAGTCTCTCAACCGGTGAACATCAGGGGGTCGGTATGGAACCCTCTTTCTCGCCAGTTCCGGTTGATGCCCTCTGAATCCGTTTCTCCCGACTCCCAAGTCCGTGGATACCCCGGGTCAAGATGCTTACTCTTGGCCTCCCCGAGTACCACATAAAGGACTCTGACGCCAGCCGGTACCTGACAAATTCCTGCTGCCCTCGAAACTTTTTCCGAGTTGTTCGGACGGCCCCTCAAAACCCTGCCCCCCATCCCCCGGATTTGACTGGTCTCACTCAGCCCTATGACTTGACTTTGGGCTTTGCCTCATACCCTGTAAGAGGCACGACTCCTGCTCGAGCATACACAACGCCTCTTCAACCCTGATCATGTCGCTATCTTTTCCATCAGAGTCCTCGTCAGAACAGTCTTCTACCAGAGCACCACAGGCGTGTGGCACTTGCAAAAGGCAGAAGCGGAAATGCGACAAGGCCTTGCCATCGTGCGGCCTCTGTGTACGCATGCGCAGGCACTGCGACTACACAGACGCCGTACCCGCTCCGACCCCCGAAGACTTTGCTGCTCTTCAGTTGAAGTTGCAAGAGCTCGAGACTCGCCTGAATACCAATAGCTCGGGCTCTGTGGCAAGTCTTGGAGGATCGCCACCACCCAACGCTGTCCCAAACTATGTC